GGTAAGCTGTTCTTGGTTCAGGTAGACTGGGACATAGTGTAGGTAAACTGTTCTTGGCTTAGGTAGACTGAGACATCGTGTAGGTACGCTGTTCTTAGTTCAATGACACTAAAACATCGTGTAGGTAAGCTGTTATTGGTTCAGGTAGACTGGGACATAGTGTAGGTAAACTGTTCTTGGCTTAGGTAGACTGAGGCATCATGTAGACAAGATGTTCTTAGTTCAATGACACTAAAACATCGTGTAGGTAAGCTGTTCTTGGTTCAGGTAGACTGGGACATAGTGTAGACACGCTGTTCTCGGTTCAACTAGACTGTGACAGGGTGTAGAAAGCTTTTTTTTTATTCAGGTAGACGAATATCGTGTAGACAAGCTGTTCTTGGTTTAAGCAGACTGGGATATCGTGTAGACAAGCTGTTCTTGGTTCAGGTAGGCTGGGACATCCTGTAGACAAATTGTTCTTCGTTTAGCTGGACTGAAGCATAGTGTAGACAAGCTGATCTTGATTCAGGTAGACTGGTATATCATGTATACAATCTATTCTTGGTTCAGGTAGACTGGAACATAGTTTACCCAAGCTTCGCTTGATTTCGCTAGACTGGGACATAGTTTAGAAAAGCTTTCCTTGATTCAGCTAGACTGGGACATCGTATAGACAAGCTGTTCTTGATTCAGCTAGACTGGAACATCGTATAGACAAGCTGTTCTTGGTTCAGCTAGACTGGAACATCGTATAGACAAGCTGTTCTTGATTCAGCTAGACTAGGACATCGTATAGACAAGCTGTTCTTGATTCAGCTAGACTGGGACATTTTATAGACAAGCTGTTCTTGATTCAGCTAGACTGGAACATCGTATAGACAAGCTGTTCTTGATCCAGCTAGACTAGGACATCGTATAGACAAGCTGTTCTTGATTCAGCTAGACTAGGACATCGTATAGACAAGCTGTTCTTGATTCAGCTAGACTGGGACATCGTATAGACAAGCTGTTCTTGATTCAGCTAGACTGGAACATCGTATAGACAAGCTTTTCTTGATTCTGGTCGACTCTGACCCATTCCATCTATAAAAAGAACAGCGGGGTTAACACCCACCTCCCCCCGCCCAAACCAGCAATAGACGTTCTCTATGTATGTGTCTATATTTCGTCCGAGGTGCCAGGTTCGAATCCGACTGTGGGCAATTTGGCAGCCGACCGCCTTGTTTTTGTTTCAACAGCAGGTTGGAGAGTTGACAGCTTAGTAAGCAATGGCAAACTAGTGATTGTAACCGTTGCCTAGTGAAATCATAAACTTCCACAAAATTGCTGGAATTAGTTCTGCAAGCTCCTGTAAAAGATTCACAACTAACTTTATACAGTATGAGCCCCTTTGTCCACGCCTTTATGAGTATAGGGCATGTAGGACTAGTTAGTTGCGTATCCTTTACAGGACGTTGTAGAACCAACCTTAACATCCCCTGGCTGTTGTGTGGTTTCTCTATGCAAGTTACATCCAGTAGTTTGCCATTTGCCTCTGAACGGTCGGGTTTCTTGATACCACTGTCGAAACCAACGCAAGGCGCATTGCCCGCAGTTGGGATCGAACCTGGCATCCCGGCATTACGAAGCGAAGCGTTCGCATCGACTTAGCCACAGAGCCGACATGTAGGACTAGACCTTTAATTTATAAAACAATCACCACTCGGTGAGTGATGTAGTTAACATCACATCGGTTGCCTTGTCTTCCCAGGGCTTTACCTACTACCCATTTAAAGCTGGGTCGACCCGGGACCCTGGGTGATTATGTTTTTTAAGTTCCTGTCTGAATCTGAAACCATAACCCTCAGATCCGCAGGCGAGCAGCTAGGCGCTACATCACGAAGGCTTCCAACTAACTTTGTAAATTTCACAATATTTTGTATATGTATTAGTCTTCCAGTTACCAATAATAATAATTTTAATAATAATAATAATAATAATAATAATAATAATAATAATAATAATAATAATAATAATAATAACAATAACAATAGTAATAATAGTAATAAACAAGACACAAGCCCTCAAATGTTCTTTACTCCAGAAAATTATAAGGTCTCCTTATCTTGTTGTTGGCAGCATAGAACAAAGTGAGGGATGGAGAGATGACGTTAGAAGATACAGACCCAGAAAGAGTGCCGGGCAGTGACTGTGATGTCATGGAAAGATGTCATGGAAGCGATGTCATTGGAGCGATGTAATAAGGGCAATATCATGGAAGCGATGTCATGGGTGCAATGTAATGGAGGTGATGTCATGGTAGCGATGTAATGGAGGTGATGTCATGGTAGCGATGTCATGGAGGTGATGTCATGGTAGCGATGTCATGGGGGCAATGTAATGAAGGTGATGTTATGATAGCGATGTCATGGGGGCAATGTAATGAAGGTGATGTTATGATAGCGATGTCATGAAAGCGATGTCATGGAGGCGATGTCATGAAAGCGATGTCATGGAGGCGATGTCATGAAAGCGATGTCATGGAGGCGATGTCATGACTGTGATGTCATGGAGGCGATGTCATGACTGTGATGTCATGGAGGCGATGTCATGACTGTGATGTCATGGAGGCGATGTCATGACTGTGATGTCATGGAGGCGATGTCATGACTGTGATGTCATGGAGGCGATGTCATGACTGTGATGTCATGGAGGCGATGTCATGACTGTGATGTCATGGAGGCGATGTCATGACTGTGATGTCATGGAGGCGATGTCATGACTGTGATGTCATGGAGGCGATGTCATGAAAACGATGTCATGGAGGCGATGTCATGAAAGCGATGTCATGGAGGCGATGTCATGACTGTGATGTCATGGAGGCGATGTCATGACTGTGATGTCATGGAGGCGATGTCATGACTGTGATGTCATGAAGGCGATGTCATGGAGGCGATGTCATGACTGTGATGTCATGGAGGCGATGTCATGGAGGCGATGTCATGTAGGCGATGTCATGGAGGCGATGTCATGACTGTGATGTCATGGAGGCGATGTCATGACTGTGATGTCATAGAGGCGATGTCATGACTGTGATGTCATGGAGGCGATGTCATGACTGTGATGTCATGGAGGCGATGTCATGACTGTGATGTCATGGAGGCGATGTCATGACTGTGATGTCATGGAGGCGATGTCATGACTGTGATGTCATGGAGGCGATGTCATGACTGTGATGTCATGGAGGCGATGTCATGACTGTGATGTCATGGGGGCGATGTCATGAAGGCGATGTCATGTAGGCGATGTCATGGAGGCGATGTCATGACTGTGATGTCATGGAGGCGATGTCATGACTGTGATGTCATGGAGGCGATGTCATGACTGTGATGTCATGGAGGCGATGCCATGACTGTGATGTTATGGAGACGATGTCATGGAGGCGATGTCATGACTGTGATGTCATGGAGGCGATGCCATGACTGTGATGTCATGGAGACGATGCCATGACTGTGATGTCATGGAGACGATGTCATGGAGGCGATGTCATGACTGTGATGTCATGGAGGCGATGTCATGACTGTGATGTCATGGAGGCGATGTCATGACTGTGATGTCATGGAGGCGATGTCATGACTGTGATGTCATGGAGGCGATGTCATGACTGTGATGTCATGGAGGCGATGTCATGACTGTGATGTCATGGAGGCGATGTCATGACTGTGATGTCATGGGGGCGATGTCATGGAGGCGATGTCATGTAGGCGATGTCATGGAGGCGATGTCATGACTGTGATGTCATGGAGGCGATGTCATGACTGTGATGTCATGGAGGCGATGTCATGACTGTGATGTCATGGAGGCGATGCCATGACTGTGATGTCATGGAGACGATGTCATGGAGGCGATGTCATGACTGTGATGTCATGGAGGCGATGCCATGACTGTGATGTCATGTAGACGATGCCATGACTGTGATGTCATGGAGACGATGTCATGGAGGCGATGTCATGGAGGCGATGTCATGGAGGCGATGTCATGACTGTGATGTCATGGAGGCGATGTCATGACTGTGATGTCATGGAGGCGATGTCATGACTGTGATGTCATGGAGTCGATGCCATAGGGCGATGTCATGGAGACGATGTCATGGAAAGATGTTATGAAGACTCATCATAGTAAAGTTAGCAGTGATACTAGTAGTGATGATGATAATAGTGGGGGTGATGATGATGATTATAGTGGGGGTGATGATGATGATTATAGTGGGGGTGATGATGATGATTATAGTGGGGGTGATGATGATGATGACGAGGGGGGGAAAAGCGCCTGATTTGACAAACGGTTCAAAGGTAAGTCACTCGTTTGTCTGCCAACGTTTATACTACGACAATGAAATTGTCTCCCCTTACAGGAAGTAGAGATTTTGAAGTCCGCCTGCGACCATGTACCTGCCCTATCAAGCAAAAACAAAAAGCACCCAATTTCTTCAAGAGAGAGTGAAATGTGTGGCAGACAGCCCTCCATCATGAGGCGAATTTACTGCGACTCTCTTGTAGTCTTGTTTTGTTGGCACCTAACCAGCGCCATTATAACACTTCGATTATGTACAAGGTGGAAGAGAAGAAGAAGAAGAAGAAAAAGAAGAAGAAGAAGAAGAAGAAGTCCCCATGCGGGTTGCAATTTTTAGTTATTTGAAGCTCTACCCTGACTTTTGCCGGGGGCCCTAAATATAGCCAGGCCTCAAATATGGCCTAACGGCTGAACGGGGTTTCCGGGACCTCTCTACGGGTGATCCACATTTGCATGGTGGAACTTGTGTCACCCGATGTTTATCGCTTGTGTGATGTCCTGGTGGGTTACAACATACCTACAAACCTGTCAGCACCACCACGACGTGGCGGTAATATTAGTGCTGACGGTAATGGTAAAAGTAGCAATGTCTGTCATTTCCCACAAACACAGTTTTGTGTTGGTCACGGTGTTTGTCGAGCATCGAACAACCGTGACTTTCTTTGATCTGTTGCAGGCAGGGACAGATGGAGCTGAAGAAAGTGGTGGACGATGCAGGGCACACTCTGACGGTGCTAGAGTACAAGGGTCGCTGGTTGCCAGATTTTCCCAGGGAGGCCATCGCTGGCATGGACACATTTGAAGCCAGACACGATGACGTCATTGTCTGTGCTTACCCGAAGTCTGGTGAGGACTTGTGTTGTCTTGTGTGAATGATTATACATGGGTGTGGTTGTGTGAGTGATTATATATATGTGTGTTTGGTTGTGTGAATGGTTATACATGGGTGTGGTTGTGTGAGTGATTATACATGGATATGGTTGTGTGAGTGATTTAACATGGGTGTTGTTGTGTGAATGATTATACATGGGTGTGGCTGTGTGAATGATTATGTATGGGTGTCGGATACGTTGCCTCTGGTATAAGAGCATGTTTTCGAAAATCAGAGCAAACTTTCCAGTTACGAATTTGAACAAAGAAGACGCGGACTTCTGTGATTCGTGGAAGCAACGGCTATAAACCGGTTCATTCCAGAACTATGCAGACAAAAGGACATGGTCCTCAACTTGTTTTTTCTTTGGTGAAAAAGGCAGTTACTTTTAAAATTTTATATTTTGTATTTTAGTTAGAATTCATTTACTTGCTTCGTGGTAATCACTTGTTACTGTGGTATGCACCTGACGTGATGCAGTGAGATATGCCAGGCAAGAAAAGCATGTGGTTTTGGTCTTACTGTTGTTGTGTCTGCTTCTTGGTATGCTTCCTGTTCGGTTGTGTGCTGTTCGACAATGAAAGTTAGCAACAAAGTACCCAGTACTGTCTTTTAGAATAGTGCGCGGTGAACACACGCCCTGTTCCGTGGTGCCACTCTCGTACCTATGTCAGAAAACCGCCAGTTTTTTTTTTTTTTTACAAACCGCAGAACTCGGGATTTGAACCCTAGTGCTCGATGACATGGAATTGTGAAACCCGTTCACTAACCTGTAAGAGCCCTGTGCTATGTTTGTGAGAGTTATTTAGGTGTTGTGTCGATGTTTGACAATACGGGTGGTGTCGGGTATCCCCAGGGACTCACTGGGTTTGGGAAATGGTTCGGTTCCTGCTGGCTGGAACCACAGACTTACCTGTCATAGAGAAGGACGAGGCCATGATGGAGTTCAAACTACCACAGGAGTTGGAGGTCAGTCTGACAGTTTTTGTTGTTGTTGTTGTTGTTGTTGTTGTTGTTCGCTCACCTGCCCGGGGCACCACGAGCATAGGGGCCTGATGTTAATGTGAGTTTGTTAAATGACTTGCCATAATAGAAATATCATTCCTGTAAGTGGTTGTCGTAGTGGCCTCAGCACATTGGTTTGCTCGGGGGCCCATCATGCTGTTAAGACGATTCTGGTTGTTGTGTTGATGAAGTAGCAGAAACTACATCAGCAGTAACAACTGAAGTTGTAATAGTAGCAGTAGAAGCGATTGAACTAGTACCTGTGGCGGTGGCAGCGGTAGGCGCAAATTCCCGAGGCTTAAGATATAAGAACAAACCCTGGCGTTGGATAGGACACGCTGTGAAAACCTGATAATAATGTAGCTAGATTGTCCTTGGACTAGAACCGACAGGGTGAAAGAATAAAGAGAAACCAGAGAGAGAGAGAGAGAGAGAGAGAGAGAGAGAGAGAGAAAGAGAGAGAGAGAGAGAGAGAGAGTGAGAGAGAGAGAGAGAGAGAGAGAGAGAGAGAGAGAGAGAGTAGAGACTCAGAAGATATATAGAGAATGAAGTGAAACAGTGGAACATGCAGCAAGCCACTCGCGATATAACGGGATAGTCTTTCAGCTTCAGTTGGCTAAGGGTCTCGGCTGTATCGTGGGTTCAAGTGCAGAAGAGGAAGAAATAGTAGTAGTAGCAGCAGGAGCAGTAGCATCAGTAGTAGTAGCAGCAGGAGCAGTAGCAGCTGTCGTAGAAGTTGTTTGTTGTTATTGTTGTAGCAGTAGACGTGGTCATTGTTGAAGCAGCAGTAGAAATAGTAGTAGTAAACCCCCGTGTGGGTTCCGGGGCAAGATTGTGGGGAAAACAAGAATAGACTCACTGCCTCCCCAAAAGCATGTCGTAAGAGTCGACTAATTGGGGAGCTTCCTTTGAAGTCGGAGTGCATCTGCCGGAGAGGCAAGGAACCAACAGTCTGTATTCAAGTGAATCAGATCTGTAAAACTGATGCACACGCAGCACTCAGGTTCTGGAGCAGGACTGCAGTTCAGTAATGGACGAGCAACCAGAACTTTCCGCCAGAGTGTTCAGCTGGTGAACGCAAAGAAGAAGAAGAAGTAGTAGTAAAATAGCGGCAGCAGTAAACTCAGTAGTTCTCTATTTAGTATTACCTTTGTGATGTTTAAATTAAGATTAAGTTCCATGAATTCAGTTCTTCTAATCCTGACATTTGGAAGTGAATCATGGGCAGTTGGACGATGACTTTTTTTTTTTTTTTTAAGCGGCGGAGATGTGGTTTTGTAGAAGATTGATGAGAATACCATAGACAGATAAACTGAGAAACGAAGATGTCTGGAACGAGACTAACTCACGAAGATTGCCAACATAAGAAGGAGGCAATCCACATTGCATGGTCATGTCATGAGAAGGAGAAAACATCGCGACAGTAGGAAAGTTGGAGTGGAAGAGAGGCAGAGGGAGACTGAAAGAGAAGATGCTGGACAGTTTGACTTTATGGCATGAAAGACCATCTGTGTCAGAACTGATGGAAAGTACACGAGGCACAAGGTTGTGGACACACATGACTACCAACGTCACATGGCGTGGACTATGGAAGACCATCTGTGTCAGAAGTGATGGAAAGTACACGAGGCACAAGGTTGTGGACAAACATGACTAACAACGCCACACGGCATGGACTAAGGAAGACCATCTGTGTCAGAAGTGATGGAAAGTACACGAGGCACAAGGTTGTGGACAGATATGACTACCAACCTCACATGGCGTGGACTATGGAAGACCATCTGTGTCAGAACTGATGGAAAGTACACGAGGCATAAGGTTATGGACAGACATGACTACCAACGTCACATGGCATGGACTATGGAAGACCATCTGTGTCAGAACTGATGGAAAGTACACGAGGCACAAGGTTGTGGACAGACATGACTACCAACGTCACATGGCATGGACTATGGAAGACCATCTGTGTCAGAACTGATGGAAAGTACACGAGGCAGAAGGTTGTGGACAGACATGACTACCAACGTCAAACGACATTGGCTTTAAGAAGAAGGTGATGTTTCAACGACTACTTCTATCATCAACTGAAGGAAGTGGTCCAGGTCCAGCACACTTGCCAGCCGACTAGGTAGTCTGAGGTTCAAACCTCGCCATGATGGATCTTTCAAAATTGGCCTAAGCTGTCAGATACACTTGTTTAACATTCATACCGGGAAATGTCGACGGGAAGTATAGGTGGTCGGCGTGATGGTGATCCACTGATCTGTAAAAAAAAATTAATTGGGCTAGCACTATATATCTGTTACGTCTTGAGGCATAGAGTTTGGTCCTTAACCGACCTATTGGGCGGTTAGAGTTTGTATTTAGGAAGGGGTCATTCTAGCTTTATGAACCAAATCAGCCATTCATAGTGTATAACACATATAATCCATGTTCTGGGGCAGAACCTCCCATCGCCACGGCCCCTGAACACGCATTACCACTTTGAACTGCTTCCCGAGGACATCTTGAGGAAACAGTGCAAGGTGATCTACGTGACCCGGGATCCGCGAGATGTGGCGGTCAGCTACTTCAATCACCACACCAAGTTGGTCCAGTACTACCAATATAATGGTCAGTGGCCGGACTACTTCCGTTTGTTCTTAAGTGGACAAGGTAGGTTGTGCGTATTGTGCGGGTGTCAATTTGTTGGGGATGATATAATGGTAGAGTTGACGGTGATCTTGTTCAGGATGACATAATGGTAGAGCTGACGGGGATGTTGTTCAGGATGACATAATAGTAGAGCTGACGGTGATGTTGTTCACAATGACATAATAGTAGAGCTGACGGTGATGTAGTTCAAGATGATATAATGGTAGAGTTGACGGTGATCTTGTTCAGGATGACATAATGGTAGATCTGATGGTGATGTTGTTCAGGAGGACATAATGGTAGAGCTGACGGGGATGTTGTTCACAATGACATAATGGTAGAGCTGACGGGGATGTTGTTCACAATGACATAATGGTAGAGCTGACGGGGATGTTGTTCACAATGACATAATGGTAGAGCTGACGGTGATGTTGTTCACAATGACATAATGGTAGAGCTGACGGGGATGTTGTTCACAATGACATAATGGTAGCGCTGACGGTGATGTTGTTCACAATGACATAATGGTAGAGCTGACGGTGATGTTGTTCACAATGACATAATGGTAGAGCTGACGGGGATGTTGTTCACAATGACATAATGGTAGAGCTGACGGGGATGTTGTTCACAATGACATAATGGTAGAGCTGACGGTGATGTTGTTCACAATGACATAATGGTAGAGCTAACGGGGATGTTGTTCACAATGACATAATGGTAGAGCTGACGGGGATGTTGTTCACAATGACATAATGGTAGAGCTGACGGTGATGTTGTTCAGGATGACATAATGGTAGAGCTGACGGGGATATTGTTCACAATGACATAATGGTAGAGCTGACGGGGATGTTGTTCACAATGACATAATGGTAGAGCTGACGGTGATGTTGTTCACAATGACATAATAGTAGAGCTGACGGGGATGTTGTTCACAATGACATAATGGTAGAGCTGACGGTGATGTTGTTCAGGATGACATAATAGTAGAGCTGACGGGGATGTTGTTCACAATGACATAATGGTAGAGCTGACGGGGATGTTGTTCAGGATGACATAATAGTAGAGCTGACGGTGATGTTGTTCACAATGACATAATAGTAGAGCTGACGGTGATGTAGTTCAGGATGACATAATGGTAGAGCTGACGGTGATGTAGTTCAGGATGACACAATGGTAGAGCTGATGGTGATGTTGTTCAGGATGACATAATAGTAGAGCTGACGGTGATGTTGTTCAGAATGACATAATGGTAGATCTGATGGTGATGTTGTTCAGGATGACATAATGGTAGATCTGATGGTGATGTTGTTCAGGATGACATAATGGTAGAGCTGACGGTGATGTTGTTCAGGATGACATAATGGTAGATCTGATGGTGATGTTGTTCAGGATGACATAATGGTAGAGCTGACGGTGATGTTGTTCAGGATGACATAATGGTAGATCTGATGGTGATGTTGTTCAGGATGACATAATGGTAGATCTGATGGGGATGTTGTTCAGGATGACATAATGGTAGAGCTGACGGTGATGTTGTTCAGGATGACATAATGGTAGAGCTGACGGTGATGTTGTTCAGGATGACATAATGGTAGAGCTGACGGGGATGTTGTTCAGGATGACATAATGGTAGATCTGATGGTGATGTTGTTCACAATGACACAATGGTAGAGCTGACGGGGATGTTGTTCAGGATGACATAATAGTAGAGCTGACGGTGATGTTGTTCAGGATGACATAATAGTAGAGTTGACGGTGATGTTGTTCACAATGACATAATAGTAGAGCTGACGGTGATGTTGTTCAGGATGACATAATAGTAGAGCTGACGGTGATGTTGTTCACAATGACATAATAGTAGAGTTGACGGTGATGTTGTTCACAATGACATAATAGTAGAGTTGACGGTGATGTTGTTCAGGATGACATAATAGTAGAGCTGACGGTGATGTTGTTCAGGATGACATAATAGTAGAGTTGACGGTGATGTTGTTCACAATGTAATAGTAGAGCTGACACAGGATGACATAATAGTAGAGTTGACGGGGATGTTGTTCACAATGACATAATAGTAGAGCTGACGGTGATGTTGTTCAGGATGACATAATAGTAGAGCTGACGGTGATGTTGTTCAGGATGACATAATAGTAGAGCTGACGGTGATGTTGTTCAGGATGACATAATGGTAGAGCTGACAGTGATTTTGTTTAGGATGACATAATGGTAGGGTGACAGTGATTTTGTTCAGGATGACATAATGCTAGGGTGACAGTGATTTTGTTCAGGATGACATAATGCTAGGGTGACAGTGATTTTGTTTAGGATGACATAATGCTAGGGTGACAGTGATTTTGTTCAGGATGACATAATGGTAGGGTGACAGTGATTTTGTTTAGGATGACATAATGGTAGGGTGACATAATGGTAGGGTGACAGTGATTTTGTTTAGGATGACATAATGCTAGGGTGACGGTGATGTTGTTCAGGATGACATAATGGTAGATCTGACGGTGATGTTGTTCAGGATGACATAATGGTAGAGCTGACGGGGATGTTGTTCAGGATGACATAATGGTAGAGCTGACGGTGATGTTGTTCAGGATGACATAATGGTAGATCTGATGGTGATGTTGTTCAGGATGACATAATGGTAGATCTGATGGTGATGTTGTTCAGGATGACATAATGGTAGAGCTGACGGTGATGTTGTTCAGGATGACATAATGGTAGATCTGATGGTGATGTTGTTCAGGATGACATAATGGTAGAGGTGACGGTGATGTTGTTCAGGATGACATAATGGTAGATCTGATGGTGATGTTGTTCAGGATGACATAATGGTAGATCTGATGGTGATGTTGTTCAGGATGACATAATGGTAGAGCTGACAGTGATGTTGTTCAGGATGACATAATGGTAGAGCTGACGGTGATGTTGTTCACAATGACATAATGGTAGAGCTGACGGGGATGTTGTTCAGGATGACATAATGGTAGATCTGATGGTGATGTTGTTCACAATGACACAATGGTAGAGCTGACGGGGATGTTGTTCAGGATGACATAATAGTAGAGCTGACGGTGATGTTGTTCAGGATGACATAATAGTAGAGTTGACGGTGATGTTGTTCACAATGACATAATAGTAGAGCTGACGGTGATGTTGTTCAGGATGACATAATAGTAGAGCTGACGGTGATGTTGTTCACAATGACATAATAGTAGAGTTGACGGTGATGTTGTTCACAATGACATAATAGTAGAGTTGACGGTGATGTTGTTCAGGATGACATAATAGTAGAGCTGACGGTGATGTTGTTCAGGATGACATAATAGTAGAGTTGACGGTGATGTTGTTCACAATGACATAATAGTAGAGCTGACGGTGATGTTGTTCAGGATGACATAATGCTAGGGTGACGGTGATGTTGTTCAGGATGACATAATGGTAGAGCTGACGGTGATGTTGTTCAGGATGACATAATAGTAGAGCTGACGGGGATGTTGTTCAGGATGACATAATGGTAGAGCTGACGGTGATGTTGTTCAGGATGACATAATGGTAGATCTGATGGTGATGTTGTTCAGGATGACATAATGGTAGAGCTGACGATGGTGATGTTGTTCAGGATGACATAAATGGTATAATGGTAGAGCTGACGGTGATGTTGTTCAGGATGACATAATGGTAGAGCTGACGGTGATGTTGTTTCAGGATGACATTAATGGGAGAGTGACATGATGGTAGGATGACTGACGGTGATGTTGTTCAGGATGACATAATGGTAGAGCTGACGGTGATGTTGTTCACAATGACATAATGGTTCTAGGTGATGTTGTTCACAAGGACATAATGGTAGAGCTGACGGTGGATGTTGTTTTCAGGATGACATATAATAGTAGAGTTGACGGTGATGTTGTTCAGGATGACATAATAGTAGAGCTGACGGTGATGTTGTTCACAATGACATAATGCTAGAGTTGACGGTGATGTTGTTCAGGATGACATAATAGTAGAGCTGACGGGTGATGACATAATGGTAGATGTGACAGTGATGTTGTTGTTTCAGGATGACATCACAGATGACATACAATGACATAATAGTAGAGCTGACGGTGATGTTGGATCATAATGATGACGGTGATGTTGTTCAGGATGACATAATGGTAGAGCTGACGGTGGATGTTGTTCAGGATGGACATAATGTAAGATTGGATAATGATAGAGATAATGGTGAGCTGATGATTGTTCAGGATGACATATGGGTAGATCGGATGGTGATGTTGTTCAGGATGACATAATTGTAGAGTGACAGTGATGTTGTTCAGGATGACATAATGGTAGAGTTGCCGGTGATGTTGTTCAGGATGACATAATGGTAGAGTTGACGGGGATGATAATATGGTAGAGTTGATGATGATGACAGGATGACATAATAAATGGTGGGAGTGGGTGCTGTTGTTTTCAGGGGCATTAATAACGGCAAATTGACAATATGAGCGATGATGTAGCATATAGTGATGATGATGATGATGATGAGGAAAATGAGGACGATTAAAATTTTGACGAAGTAAAGATTGATAATGATGACAGAAATGATGATGGAATTATGATAAAAATGCTAGAATTGACGTTACTGATAGAAATGATGATGTTGATGATAGAAATGATGATGTTGATAATAGTAATGATGATGTTGATGATGGTGGTGATGATGAAAGTTATGATGATGATGATAAAATTGATGATGTTAATGATAGAAATGACGATGTTGATGATAGTAATGATGATGTCGATGGTGATGATGAAAATAATAATAATAAGGATGATAATGATAGAAATTATAATGATGAAGATGACAGTATGATGATGATCTTTTGCTTCTTTGCGTTTACCGGCTGTTAACTCCAGCAAAAAGTTCTGATTGTTCGTCCACCTTTGGACTTTGGTCTTGTTCCGGGACTTGACTTTTGCGTGCACGTCAGTGTTACAGATCTGGCTTATTTGTATGCAGACTGTTGGTTCATCACCTCTCAGGCAGACGCACTCAGACTTTAAAGAAAACACCAGTATACATTCGCCTTGTACGACACGCTTGTTAGGGAGCAGTTGGTCTGTCCCCCCGCCCCGTCTTAAAATGAGGCCATGGAATTCACACAGAGAATGATGATGATGATGGTGATATATATAGCAGCAACGATGACAGTGTAGAGGATGATGCTAAAAACGAAGTAGATGATGATAAAGTAAATAATTATTAGGATGAGGATGATGTCAAAAATGATGATATTAATGATGATAATAAGGTTTGAATGCTGAAGACAGTTTTTGATTGGCTAATGATGATAGTGTTTGAATGTTTCATTGGCTATGTTGAAAACCTATTAACCAATAATTGAACATGTGGGTGTTGGAGATAACGTTTGATTGGCTGTAGACATGAAGAAGTTTGAACGGTGTACTGCTGTGTTTCAGTGGACTACGAGTCTTGGTTTACGTACACCAAAGGATGGGAGCGAGGGATACAGGAACACCCGGAGCTGCCAGTTCATATCACTTCGTATGAGGAACTGCAAGCGGTATGGCTTTCTTCTGTTTTAAACAAGTTGTTTTTGTTGTTATTGTTGTTGTGTTTGTGTTGTTGTTGTTGTTGTTGTTGTTGTTGTTGTTGTTGTTGTTGTTGTTGTTCTTCTTCTTCTTCTTCTTCTTCTTCTTCTTCTTCTTCTTCTTCTTCTTCTTCTTCTTCTTCTTCTTCTTCTTCTTCTTCTTCTTCCTCCTCCTCCTCATCCTCCTCCTCATCCTCCTCCTTCTCCTCCTCTTCTTTCTCTTCTTATTCTTCGTCTTCCTCCTCCGTTTTCTAATGCAACAGCTGCTGCTACTAGTACTATCGCTGCAACTGCTACTACTGTTGCATCTACTGCTACAATCAAATTGATTGAAAGTACAAGAGAAAGAAGGTTGTGCAGAGACAGGACTACCAACGCCACACAGCACGGACTATGAGAAGAACACTTTTTACATAATGTTGCCACACAGTTATTCAGTCTGCTTGCAAACCAGAGTTTAAATTCACATATGATAAAACATAGAAAAATATACATAAATTGCTGAACGCTTTATGTTTACACAACACACCTTGGCACTGTAGCCAGCTCGCTAATTTGTCATGATGTACAGACACATCTTGCAACGTGCATTTTTGTGTGACAGTGTTAGTAATCTTTGCTTCAATTATAGACTCAATTACATGCAGGTTTCTTGAAGTGTGTCAGATTTATTACATATTGTAGCCCTGGGCTGTTTACGAGTTTTTCTCGTTACAGGATATGTTCTTGTGGTTTCTAGGTTCCTCTCTTGTCATTGCATGATATACTCCTTATGTTTTAAGGTTCTGTTCCTATCGTTACAGGTTATTTTCGTGTGGTTTAAAGGTTCTGTTCTTGTCGTTTTACAGAATACGTTCTTGTCATTTAAGTTTTTCGTTCCTATCGTTACAGAATACGTTCTTGTCATTTAAGTTTTCCGTTCCTATCGTTACAGAATACGTTCTTGTCATTTAAGTTTTCCGTTCCTATCGTTACAGAATACGTTCTTGTCATTTAAGGTTTCCGTTCCTATCGTTACAGAATACGTTCTTGTCATTTAAGGTTTCCGTTCCTATCGTTACAGAATACGTTCTTGTCATTTAAGGTTTCCGTTCCTATCGTTACAGAATACGTTCTTGTCATTTAAGTTTTCAGTTCCTATCATTACAGAATACGTTCTTGTCATTTAAGTTTTCCGTTCCTATCGTTACAGAATATGTTCTTGTGGTTTCAAGGTTCCATTTGTGTTATTGCAGGATACATTCGGTGGCTTGAAAAAACTGGCTAACTTTCTCGGGGTTGAAGTGGATGAGACTTTCCTGATCCAGGTGGTGAAGAAGTGTAGCTTTGAGGTCATGGGGGCCACAAAAGGTGCACAAGAGGTGTTTGATGAGAGCAGTAGTCCTATCATGTACAGAAAGGGTAAGTCATATCAAAAAGGTAAGTAATAGTTCAGGGAGAATAAGTAATATAATCTGTGGTGAGGTTATTAAAGTCATCTGCGGGGGGAGGTAAAGGGGGGGGGGGTAATTAATGTCATCTGTAGGGAGGTAATTGTCATCTGCAGGAAGGTGGTTAATGTCATCTAGAGGGAGGTAATTGTCATTTGCAGTGAGGTAGTTACTGTCATCTAGAGGGAGGTAATTGTCATCTGCAGGGAGGTAGTTACTGTCATCTAGAGGGAGGTAATTGTCATCTGCAGAGAGGTAGTTAATGTCATCCAAAGGAAGGTAATTGCTATCTGCAGGGAGGTAGTTAGTGTCATCTAGCGGGAGGTAATTGTCATCTGCAGAGAGGTAGTTAATGTCATCTAGAGGGAGGTAATTGTCATCTGCAGGGAGGTAGTTAATGTCACCTAGAAATAGGTAATTGTCATCTGCAGAGAGGTAGTTAATGTCACCTAGAAGGAGGTAATTGTCATCTGCAGAGAGGTAGTTAATGTCATTTAGAGGGAGTTAATTGTCATCTGCAGAGAGGTAGTTAATGTGATCCAAAGGAAGGTTATTGCCATCTGCAGGGAGATAGTTAATGTCATCTAGAGGGAGGTAATTGTCATCTACAGGGAGGTAGTTAATGTCACCTAGAGGGAGGTAATTGCCATCTGCAATGAGGTAGTTACTGTCATCTAAAAGGAGGTAATTGTCATCTGCAGAGAGGTAGTTAATTTCATCTAGAGGGAGGTAATTGTCATCTGCAGAGAGGTAGTTAATGTCATCTAGAGGGAGGTAATTGTTATCTGCAAAAAGGTGGTTAATGTCATCTAGAGGGAGGTAATTATCATCTGCAGGGAGGTAGTTCATGTCATCTAGAGGGAGGTAATTGTCATCTACAGGGAGGTAGTTAATGTCATATCAAGGGAGGTAATTGTCATCTGCAGAGAGGTAGTTAATTTCATCTAGAGGGAGGTAATTGTCATCTGCAGAGAGGTAGTTAATGTCATCTAGAGGGAGGTAATTGTTATCTGCAAAAAGGTGGTTAATGTCATCTAGAGGGAGGTAATTGTCATCTGCAGGGAGGTAGTTCATGTCATCTAGAGGGAGGTAATTGTCATCTACAGGGAGGTAGCTAATGTCATCTAGAGGGAGTATTTGTCATCTGCAGGTAGGTAGTTAACATTATCTAAAGGGAGGTAATTGTCATCTGCAGAGAGGTAGTTAATGTCATCCAGAGGGAGGTAATTGTCATCTGCAGAGAGGTAGTTAATGTCATCTAGAGGGAGGTAATTGTCATGTGCAGGGAGGTAGTTAATGTCATCTAGAGGGAGGTAATTGTCATCTGCAGGGAGGTAGTTAATGTCATCTAGAGGGAGGTAATTGTCATCTGCAGGTAGGTAGTTAATATTATCTAAAGGGAGGTAATTGTCATCTGCAGAGAAGTAGTTAATGTCATCTAGAGGGAGGTAATTGTCATCTGCAGAGAGGTAGTTAATGTCATCTAGAGGGAGGTAATTGTCATGTGCAGGGAGGTAGTTAATGTAATCTAGAGGGAGGTAATTGTCATCTGCAGGGAGGTAGTTAATGCCATCCAAAGGAAGGTAATTGTCATCTACAGGGAAGTAGCTAATGTCATCCAAAGGGCGGTAATTGCCATCTGCAGGGAACTTCAGATGTCATTTTTAATACAGTGGCACACCAGGCATATGATTGCATGACCTGGAATTTGAGCTTGATGAAGCGTGTCTCTGCCGTTTTCAAGGTTAGGACATGAGATAACTTCAACCAATTTCTAATGGGAATAATCAGTAAAAGTACCTTGGAGTGGCTGCTGCATCGGAGGGCTGCGCACACATGGAATTGCCCAGTGTGCAAAGACATTAATTTTAATAACATAATATAAAATATGATACTTCACTCAGAGGTCTTAGACAGCTGACTTTCTTCTACTGTCCTGTTCTCTTCTGCGTGGTCGCCTGTACAGCTAACTTCCTTCTACTTTCCTATTCTCTTTTGCGTCGTCACCTGTCCAGATGACTTCCTTCTACTGTCCTGTTCTCTTCTTCGTTGTCACCTGCCTAACTTCCTTCTACTGTCCTGTTCTCTTCTGCATCATCACCTGTCCAGCTGACTTCCTTCTACTGTCCTGTCCTGTCCTGTCATAATTTCCCCAGCCACTGTTCTCATTAATTGTGTGGGAACTTTGTACCAGGTAAAGTCGGCGACTGGAAGAATTGGTTCACAGTGGCCCAGTCTGAGCAGTTCGACGATGTCTTTGAGAGGGAGATGGTCGGATCCTGGGCATACAACCTCTACTCACACACCAAGCAAGGCAGCAGTCTCACATGATAGGGGAGATGACTGCTACTTGTGACAGTTGATTACATTTGATGGTTACAAGTGATAGTTGCTATATGTGATTTTTTATTGCATGTGATAGTTGGTTGCATGTGATAGTTGCTATATGTGATTATTTCTATATTTGATACTTGGTTACATATCATAGTTGGTTACATGTGATGGTTGCTACATATGATGGTTAATATATGTGATAGTTGCTACATGTGATTGTTTATTACATGTGATAGTTGCTACATGTGATACTTGATTACACATGATATTTGGTTACATTTGATAGTTTCTATATGTGATAGTTGCTACATGTGGTAATTGTTACATGTGATAGTTGATTTCATGTGATAGTTGGTTATGTGTGATAGTCAATTAATGTGTTAGTCACTACATGTGATAGTTGCTACACACGATAGTCACTACATGTGATAGTTGTTACATTTGTAGCTGCCAAATGTGGTAGTTGCTACATGTGACAGTTGCTACATGTGACTTGCTGCATGTGGTAGTGGCTACATAAAGTAGCTGCTACATGTGGTAGTTGCTACCTGTGGTAGTTTCTACATATGATAGCTGCTACATGTGAGAGTTGCTACATGTGACAGTTGCTACATATGATAGTTTGCTACATATGATAATTGCTACCTGTGATAGTTTGCTATATATGATAATTGCTACATGTGATAGTTGCTATATGTAACAATGTAACATTTGTCTTAGCAGGGATGTATTGATAAATAATGTGCTAACATCACTCCTGTCTTTGGTAGAAACACACACACACACACACACATACAGAGAAAAAAAAAAGATAGTCATATCCATCATCATCTGTTGCCTGTAATGGAAAAGCAAAACAACAAAATAGAAATAAATGTCCTTCGAACACAGCTTGTATTCTAAGACAGATAAAAAAGAAGGAAAGAAGAATTTGATGATCATTATCACTGATCTTTTAGCACAAAAAGAAACAGGGAGGGGGGAGAAAGGATGAAAGGAAAAAGAACTAGCAGTTGTCTAGGATAGATGTGCAAGACAATAATAAAATTCAAAAAAATATCACTCTATTTTGGGAGATAAGAGCAAGAAAACAAAAATGACCAGCCATTTCATATCAAAACCCATACTTTACCACGGGGAAACAAACCATCGATGTTTGGGTCACAAATGTTAACCCTCACAATTAATTTACAATAAAACATAGTCAGTGCTCCTGTATGTTTGGCTGACTTGATTTTCATTATTATGTATCTGAAATCCATATTGTTATGTGACTCTTCATTTATGTGTAGATCGTCTTTTTGTTCGGCAATTCAGTTTAGGCTACTTTTACTTCCTCAAAACTTTCCTAGCATTCATTTTTAAGATGGGTCAAAGATGTTTATTAGGTAGGTGGGAAGGTATGTAGGTAATCAGGTGAGGAGGTATGCAGGTAATCAGGTGAGTAAGGTATGTAGGTAATCAGGAAAGGAAGGTATGTAGGTAATCAGGTGAGAAAGGTATGTAGGTAATCACGTGAGGAAGGTATGTAGGTAATCAGGTCAGGAAGGTATGTAGGTAATCAGGTAAGGAAGATACGTAGGTAATTAGGTAGGGGAGTTATCACATGAGGTGTGAAGATGGGTAGGTAGCTAGGCAGTCCCAATGCCATCATAAATTATAATTTTGACAATAATAAAAGCTAACACAGAATGTCATTTCAATAATTTAATTGGGTCATTAAAAAAAATTAGTATTTCTGCAGCTACAGAAGAAGAAATCAAGTATATAACAAAAGTATTTCTATGCAGCGACAAAATAAACAAACACAGATGTAACTCTATATCCATATTTACATGCAATCTTGGGTAACTAAGTTCAACAGATTCCAAAAGTTCTGTCTTCTTCTTCTTCAGCATTCCGAGCCCTTGAGGTCTATTGCTGCAGATATCACCCACCTCCATTCATCTCTCTGGTTGGCCTTCTCTTTCTAGTTAGTAACTCCGAGTGTTTGTAGGTGTCTCTGGACATTATCTCTCTATTGCCTTCCTGAGCTACCTCTTGGTCTACGACTAGTCAGCTCCCTTGTGTACACAGTTGTTACCCCTCTGTCATCTAGCATTCTGTCAATATGCCCCAGTCATTTCAGTCTATTAGCCCTCAGGATGTCAGTCCCATTGTGGGTTCCGGTGCACCATTGTAGAGAACACAAGGATATGCCCACTGTTGCCCCAACAAGCATGTCCTAGGAGTTGACTAACTGGGGGTATCCTTCGAAGTCAGAGTGCAAGGAGAGACAAGGAAGCAACAGTCTGCATACATATAAGCCAAATCTGTGAAAAAAATGTGCATCCAACACTCAGGTTCTGAAACAAGACTAAAGTCTGGAGGTGGACACAAACCAACAACTTTGCACAGGGTTTACAGCCAGTGAACACGAAGAAGAAGAAGAAGAAGAAATCAGTGAGGCTCTACTGTCTAGGTATTATTCTCATATTCTCGTAAAATGGAAGACAATGGAGATTTAACAACAAGTCCTCAAATGTTAAGCACTGTGGCTCTCCAACTTTTACTATTACTCAAGTATCCAGGCAAGAAAACAAAAAGTGGTCTTCATGGTGAAGTGATGAAGCTGTTTACTTGATAGTCTGAATGCTGTAGGTTTAATTTCACACTGGTCATTCAGTTTATTAGAGCGGACGTTTTACAGATAAATCAGGGTCATAGCTGGAGCTAGTTTCTCACTGCGTGCAATACTATTGGTAGCTGAACAGCAGCTCTGAAGGGAGTCCTACTGAATTTTAAAAAAAAAGGATCAATGGGGGATTTCCATATGTTGAACACTGCAAGATTGAGGTATCAGCTTTGCTAGCAAACATGAGTAGCCTGCTAATTACCCAGAGGACAGCCATGTCAACCCAACCTCCTAGAGGTGGATACTGGAAAACAGGCCTTGAGGTCTCAGGCTAACGGGGTCTAGCTTGCCAGGTGGGATGGTGGTGGTCATTGTTCCCCTTTAGGGTTGACGCCCATAGAATTACCATCTCAAGGATGAGAATTACACTCGAGCAAATCCCAGAAACCTTGCTCAGTTGTATTATACAGAGTATAAACCCACTGGGGTTTACAGCCAGTGAACACAAACAGCCAGGACTTACCACTGGGGTTTACAGCCAGTGAACACAAACAGGCAGGACATTCCACTGGGGGTTTACAGCCAGTGAACACAAACAGGCAATACATTCCACTGGGGTTTACAGCCAGTGAACACAAACAGCCAGGACTTACCACTGGGGTTTACAGCCAATGAACACAAACAGCCAGGACTTTCCATTGGGGTTTACAGCCAGTGAACACAAACAGCCAGGACTTACCACTGGGGTTTACAGCCAGTGAACACAGATAGTCAGGACATTCCACTGGGGTTTACAGCCAATGAACACAGACAGCCAGGACTTTCCATTGGGGTTTACAGCCAGTGAACACAAACAGCCAGGACTTTCCACCGGGGTTTACAGCCAATGAACACAAACAATCAAACATACAATGAGACTGAAACATTGAAACAGGAAACACAAAAAAGGAAATGCATTTTTATCATAAATGCACAAACAAAAACTTTGCGACAAGTAGATAAAAGAATATCCGACATTTATTTGTTCTGTGTGCAGAATGCCTGAACTATGAATGAGGCAGTTTACCAACATAAGAAAGCAGCGTGTTCATCGCAGTAATTTTTTAAGAGAATGACAGAAATGTCCCCTTCACCTATGAAATTTGATTCGCTGAAGTGGAGACTGATTTTGCGCCTCCTTAAGGATGTCCGTGAGATGTCATAACAATTATCAGCTAATTTCCAACCGGTTTCAACTCCATATGCCAAATTGCATCTTTTGCATATTATACATTTTAAAAATTAACAATATTGTTGAGAAAATAACAGCAAGGATGATGATGATGATACTGACAATTACAATGATGATAAAATTAACAATCATGAAGAAAATGAAGATGATAAATAGATGTAAAAATAATTTCAATAAATATAACTAAATACATGTTATAATAATTTAGCACAAATAAATTCACTGCCACATCAACTTCATATTTTGAGAATCAAATTCACTTCCATGAAAGACACAAGCCATTTATATCCATTTGTCCACTTTATGTACATGTCAACCTCTCATTAAGTCAGCAGTGAAGAGCAAGTTAACAGGCAACAAGAACAGTCAGTATCAACACCTGTTGACTTCACTGGGAGACTGAGCACTTTTGAGCTTATCCCGAGGGTAGTGGTGTCAATTCTGTTTTTAATCATTTGCTCTGGGGCGCACAGATACAAATTATGGATGAGTTTATGATTAAGGGCAGTAAATCATGGTTTGAGGAAAGCAGAGTTATCTATACTGACTTTTATCAGCAAAGAATCATCTTTGATGTAGTCCCTGGTTTTTACAATTTCGTGGGAGACAAATTTGGGATAACCGAATCCCAGGGCTTCGACAGACTTTGTTGGCTTTTGAAAATGGCTGCAGGAAGGTTCCGGCTGAAATGTTTCACAAAGATTAGCTCTCATGTCTGCATCGTTGCACTGGTCGTAAAGTGTGAACGATACAGGCAGCAAAAATGGCCAGGACAGGATGTTGTCATATTCACCGTGGAGAAGTCGGATGTACAGGGAGATATATTTGCCTTCTGCTGCTCCATTTCCGTTGAGGAAGACGGACAGGCTTGCTTTGTACCCAAACTTGGATGTGTAGAAGGGTGGGCTCTTCAATTCTTTGGTGCTTGTGTAGACTGCATCAATAAACTTGGATTTATAGTTGCTGTGGAAAGTGATAAAGTTTCATTTATATATCTGTAAGTGATGGTATATTTAGGTCTACAAATACTGTTCAGGGTTACAATAACTTGTGTGTGGCAGCTGTGGTGGTGGTTACAATAACTTGTGTGTGGCAGCTGTGGTGGTGGTTACAATAACTTGTGTGTGGCAGCTGTGGTGGTGGTTACAATAACTTGTGTGTAGCAGCTGTGGTGGTGGTTACAATAACTTGTGTGTGGCAGCTGTGGTGGTGTTTACAATAACTTGTGTGTGGCAACTGTGGTGGTGGTTACAATAACTTGTGTGTGGCAGCTGTGGTGGTGGTTACAATAACTTGTGTGTGGCAGCTGTGGTGGTGGTTACAATAACTTGTGTGTGGCAGCTGTGGTGGTGGTTACAATAACTTGTGTGTGGCAGCTGTGGTGGTGGTTACAATAACTTGTGTGTGGCAGCTGTGGTGGTGGTTACAATAACTTGTGTGTGGAGGCTGTGGTGGTGGTTACAATAACTTGTGTGTGGCAGCTGGGGTGGTGGTTTCAATAACTTGTGTGTGGCCGCTGTGGTGGTGGTTAAAATAACTTGTGTGTGGCAGCTATGGTGGTGGTTACAATAACTTGTGTGTGGCAGCTGTGGTGGTGTAGCAGCTAGAGGCTTGCCTGCAGAAGGTTGTGGGTTCAGGCCCTGACAAAGCTAGGCTTCCAGGTCGACCCAGATAAAGTCCTGCGAAGTAAAGGCGGCCGGCACAATGCTGACCCCATCACACACCAAGTACCTATTGGTCTGTGCAATATGGGTCTTGCCCTGTTTGCCCAATACATCTGAAGGCGTGGGAAAAGGTCCTTTACTTTAGTTAATAACTTTGTGTGACAATAATTTTAGATTGATAACTCTCGTTGAGGAAAATAAATTTGGATTAATAGATTCTGTGGATTATGACAAATTTAGGTTTGCTGTCAAGAATGATAAGTTTATGTGTAGATTCCTAGATGATGATAATCTTATAAATATATAAAATTTGGATGGCTATCCTCCAAATAACGGTCCCAAATTATCGAGGCTGAAAATACACCCTAACAGGGCCTCAGTCACATGTCAATTACGGACTTCCGGCGACTACCGCCACCGCTGAGAGTATCTCCCACGCAGCTATGCACGGCGTGGAGCCGGGCTAAACTAGATAACTGGAACTCATGAGCAAATAAAATGAAGGAAGCTGCAGGAGATGCGGTAGCTTCTGCTCTTGAGTCCCGGCCATCTAGTTTTGCTCCGCTACATGACGAAAGTAGCTGTGTGGGAGATACTCTTGGCGGTGGCGGTAGTTGCCGGAAGTGCGCAATTTAGGTCGCCGGAAGTCTGCAATTGACATGTGACTGAGGCCCTGTTAGGGCATATTTTCGGCCTCTATAATTTGGAACCGTTATTCGGAGGACAGCCATTTGTATTTACTGTGAATGATGATAAATTTAGATTTATAACTGTTGTGGGTGGTAAACAAAAGATTGATTTATTCTTTCTGCAGATGAGAATAAACATAGATTTATAGTTTCTGTGGATGATGACCAACTTAAATTTATAATGACTGTTGATTATACAAAATAATGTTTTGTCTCGTGCAAGCTGTGTATTTCCCCCACCTGATCCTCCAGATAAACACGCCGTCTGTTGTCTGTGTCACTGTGTGTAGAGCTGAACACAGCTGTGTGATCTGTGCCTGTTGTTGTTTCACAAGGTCACAGGTCAAACCCAGGTGAGCCTTGACATTCTCCTCAAGGTGAAGTTCAAGGCTGTATCTTGGACACTGCAATAACACATTTTTTAAAAGTAAAATCGCAGATAATTTTTCAAGCAGCAAGTAAACAGATGCGGTAGAACATGGATTCGATATTATTCTTTCTCTGCCTTCCTTCCCCATTTCAGCACAGGTTCCTAACCAGATCATATCAAGCTTCTTGTCCGTTTGTTCTGTTCCATTCTTTTGTTTTCTTCCCCAGGCAGCTACATAAAGTCTGATCCCTTCCCTTCCCCCCCTCCCCGAGGTTACAAAAACCCAACATGGATGGCAGACCAACATGGTAGATCTCAGAGTGTAGAACCTCCAGTGAGGTTACAACTAGAAATATTATAAAATGACTTTTTTAAAAATTTCATTGAAATAAAACACCCCTAAAACTCGCTCAATCGTATCGTATCATAAAAATCAAACAAAAATTCCAAGCTTAGTCCTTTTTTAGCCGCCTGAAGGCCTGCTTTATCAAGGACGGTTTCTTTGCTATCTTATTTAAGTTCTTTTCCTTTGTGGTGAACAATTACACCTGAGATTGTTCTTTTGTTGCCTAAGTTCGGAGCGGGTTTTATGGGTCCTGGTTCCTGTCTTTATCTGGCTGTTCGCCTGTCGTTGCACTGATCATCTGTGCGAGCACCGAGGCGGTCCTTAGTCACACCACCGTGAAGCAAACAGTTCTGCAGATTGAGCGTCCCACACAAGGCCCCCATCAGGATGACTGTCACAATCTACTTGTTGTGCGCTGCCGTTTTTTTTTTTTTTTTTTAATAAGTAGAGGATGTAACAAAGATTTGCACACACAAAAATTAGAAAAAAAACTTGAAACTCTACCTTAAGCAATTTATTGAAGAAGAGAAGCAGAAGAAGAATTCTGGAGTCTTATATCTGGGTTTTTTTTTAACCTTAGATCAGTTAGCAGACAGGCAAGTGTAAAGTCCACAGTTATATCATGGCTGTCAAGTCATTAAAATAATTCACATAAATTTATATGAGTAATTTTTTCATGCAAAACATTATTTTCAGGAAGGGAAATAATCACTAAATACAAATGAAGTAATGAATTAACTGCTTTCCTTCCCTTTGACCAGTATAAAATTGATTTTGTTGACTTGGCCAAAGGCAGCAAAGTGACATCACATGAGATTTCTAAGACTTAACGATGATGCCACAATTTATTTAAAACAAAAGTGGAATTTTTTTTTTTAATCCATAATAATCTTTTTTTTTTTTTTATGTTTGGCCATACTCACCACATGTGCACACTATGCAGGTACAGCTACTATGCTGTGTGTGTTATCTTTCTGTCCTTTTTAGGACAAAATTGTTCGTTATTTGAAACCCTTTTCTGGCTCTTGCCAGGGGCCGCAATATAGCCTGGCCATAAATATGGCCTAAAGGTTGAACGCGGTTTCTGGGACCTCTCCATGGTGATCCTCACTCACATGGTGGCACATTGTGTCATCAGGTGTTTATCGCTTGTGTGATATTCTGGTGTGGTAGAAAGTCAGTCAGTCAGCTACTATGCTGCCTCAAAATAGGGCGTACTTTTTTGTTATTTCAAAGCTTCACTCCGGCTATCATCAGGAACCCTAATCTCACCTAACAGTTGACAGGGTTTCCGTGAGGTTCTAGTCCAAATTTGTTGCACTTTGTATCGCTGAGTGTATATAGCTGGTTGTGTAGTCCTAGTGAGGTTGAACGTTATTCACATTCAGCTACAACCAATACCGAAGCTGCGATAGAGCTGTATTTGCCACTGCCCAAAGACCTGCCATAAAACCCCATCAATGTTGGAAAAACAACTTTCTCAGCGTGACAGGGTTCTATTGCCTCCCTTATTATAAAACACCCTACACTTTTGTAATGTTTCCATTACGTCCATTGCCAGGTAGCAGCTTGGAGGATAAAACAATATCCATCATCTGCTTATTGAATACGAACACTGAGGACTATTTTCTGGAGACACATCACACATTACAGGCATGCTTTTTGGGCATCATTTTTTCAGCACTACTTTCGGGGACACTGTACGTTGAGCAAAAGCACATATGTAGACACTTTGTGGTACCGGCACATTTGTAGACTCTTTTGTTGTACCAGCAAATTTGTTGACACTTTGTAGTACCGGCACATTTGTTGACACTTTGTAGTACCAGCACATTTGTAGACACAGTGGTACCGGCACATTTATAGACACTTTGTAGTACCAGCAAATTTGTAGACACTTTGTGGTACCGGCACATTTGTAGACACTTTGTGCTACCGGCACATTTGTAGACACTTTGTGGTACCGGCACATTTGTAAACACTTTGTGGTACCGGCACATTTGTAAACACTTTGTGGTACCGGCACATTTGTAAACACTTTGTGGTACCGGCACATTTGTAAACACTTTGTGGTACCGGCACATTTGTAAACACTTTGTGGTACCGGCACATTTGTAAACACTTAGTGGTACCGGCACATTTGTAAACACTTTGTGGTACCGGCACATTTGTAAACACTTTGTGGTACCGGCACATCTGTAAACACTTTGTGTTACCGGCACATTTGTAAACACTTTGTGGTACCGGCACATTTGTAGACACTTTGTGGTGAGTACCGGCACTTCTTTTCTAGAAAAAAAAAAAGCGCTGGGCTAACACCCCAGACTTTTGTAAAGAAGTTGCATTATCATAGTGGCTAAATGCTCATCTGCCAGCCGTGGTTCAAATCCACATAGAGTCGAATTTCATTTTACTTGGCTCAGCCCAGCCCTCAGTGGGTGCCGTGAAAGTCCTGGGAAGTAAAAGCGTCTCCACATCACTTACTGAGTGGCGATGGGTCCATAAGAATATGAAGTAAGCATCATCTGCTCACCGGTGAAAACAGGGCCCTTTACCTACATTACATACACTTCTGTAATGTTTATATTATCTCCCTTACCTTGTGTTGACATCCTGCACTCTTAAAGGGACAGCTGATGGTGGCAGACGGACACTCCTCCTGGACATGGTTCTCCACATTCTCCCGGGGAATTTTGGCGGGGTCACATCTGTTAGGGCACATCACTGGGTATCTGGGACACTGGTACTGGTGTGTCTGCAAATATTGGAGTTGGATCATCATCACAGAAATGCAAGTTGCAAAATACATTTAACTGACTCAGATCTTTTGGCCAAAGTTTAGACATGAATGACAACCTGCCGTGGCAGAGTACATCAAGGTAGTAAGTATTTAGTGTAGCTGTTACAGGTAAATATAACTTCTGTAGAGATTTAACTGCGTATCTGGGATGTGTCTTGTTGAGTTTGCATCCATGACACAGCTCCTAGAGTCACAAGGATGTTAAACTTTCAGACGGTTGCCCAGAAATCGGGGGGAAAAAAGGGTAAAGAGTTAGTTCATGAGTGATTCCTTAATTATTATTCGATTGGATGATCTAGTAGTTGACTTATTTATTTTATGGACTGGCGGGCTAGTTGACTGATTGGACTTTTCTGTGAACAGTTTTATTTTGCCTTAATTCCATCGCAGTCCTCAGTCAGTCAAGGAATGTCGGATATAGTCTTCGCAATTAAACCTGGGTCACCCTGGTGGTCTGGTTCCCTAGCCCTTGGCCTGCCACTGTGGCCGATTCTCTCCCATTTTGTATGCATGTCCAAACCATGGTGACTGAAGACAAATATTACAATCTCACTCATGAATATGTAACACCCACCTGTAGAGTCTCATACAAGAAGTCCCGGCTACAGTAGGAGCAGGGCATTGTCCGCTTGTGACACTCTGTTTTCATGTGAGTCGCCAGGAACTTCCTCTCCAGCTTGGCTCCGCATTTATTCTCACACCACAAAATTTCTTTCTGGCAGTTTCCTGCATGAGTCTGAAAAGTGAGAAACAGACAAAATATTGACCACGTAACATATCATAACTTAACATATCCCTTGACCCATTAGGGTCGTGGAGGTGTATCAGTGGAAGCACTAACACACAAAACCTACATCTTTCTGTCTTATGCTTGATGAACAAGTGTATGGTAACTGAATCCTGCCCATTTGTTGAAGTTGTCATTCCAGGTTCTTATCACAGGTACCAATCACAAATATTGGGGATTACCACTCTTTGATTCTCACCTATTTTTGTGTGTTTTGTTTTCTTTTATTTACATTTACTTTGAATCCTTTGCAAGATGTTGCAAACCAATTTTAGACAATTATATATACATTTAGTAGTTTGCAACTACTTCTGAAGAGTCAATGTTTCATCCCACTGTTGAAATTCTAAACCGCTTGCATTTGAACTGAAATGGGTATTTTAGAATTACCAATCATGTTCTGAGTGCCTGAGCTGAAGGACCTGACACTAGCTGTCAACAAATGGCTGGTCTTCAAGGTATGAAACAGGCTGTCACTTGTGGGTGCTCTTTGTTCTTGTCAGTTCTAACTCAATAAACCAGTAAATCAATCAATCAGGTGTCTTCTCCGTAATAAAGGTTGGCTGCAATGGGTCTGCAACACTCTGTCTCTAGGTCATAATTGACAAGCCATGAGTCTTATTCTTTACTCACACCTCTGGTGAGTCTACAACCCCTATCTGATCTTTGTGTTCTCAACTCTCTTCTCTTCTACAGAGTAGTCAGTCTCTTACCTAATCCATGTATTCTCCAGTGAATGTCCACTCTCATCTCTTTTACAGAGTGGTCAGTCCCCTACCTGATCCATGTGTTCTCTACTCTCATCTCTTCTACTGAGTGGTCAGTCTCTTATATGATCCATGTGTTCTCTACTCTCATCTCTTCTTCTGAGTGGTCAGTCTCTTATATGATCCATGTGTTCTCTACTCTCATCTCTTCTGCCGAGTAGTCAGTCTCTTATGTGATCCATGCGTTCTCTACTCTCATCTCTTCTACTGAGTGGTCAGTCTCTTATATGATCCATGTGTTCTCTACTCTCATCTCTTCTGCCGAGTAGTCAGTCTCTTACGTGATCCATGTGTTCTCTACTCTCATCTCTTCTACTGAGTGGTCAGTCTCTTATATGATCCATGTGTTCTCTACTCTCATCTCTTCTGCCGAGTAGTCAGTCTCTTACATGATCCATGTTCTCTACTCTACTCTCATCTCAGTCTCTTACTGATCCGTGTATTCTCTACTCTCATCTCTCTCAGTCTTACATGATAATCCATGTGTTCTCTACTCTCATCTCTTCTACTGAGTGGTCAGTCTCTTATATGATCCGTGTGTTCTCTACTCTAATCTCTTCTACCAAGTGGTCAGTCTCTTATATGATCCATGTGTTCTCTACTCTAATCTCTTCTACTGAGTGGTCAGTCTCTTATATGATCCATGTGTTCTCTACTCTCATCTCTTCTACTGAGTAGTCAGTCTCTTATATAATCCATGTGTTCTCTACTCTCATATCTTCTACTGAGTGGTCAGTCTCTTACATGATCCATATATTCTCTACTCTCATCTCTTCTACTAAGTGGTCAGTCTCTTACATGATCCATGTGTTCTCTACTCTCATCTCTTCTACTGAGTGGTCAGTCTCTCACATGATCCATGTATTCTCTACTCTCATCTCTTCTACTGAGTGGTCAGTCTCTTACCTGATCCATGTGTTCTCTACTCTCATCTCTTCTACTAAGTGGTCAGTCTCTTATATGATCCATGTGTTCTCTACTCTCATCTCTTCTACTGAGTGGTCAGTCTCTTATGTGATCCATGTGTTCTCTACTCTCATCTCTTCTACTAAGTGGTCAGTCTCTTATCTGATCCATGTGTTCTCTACTCTCATCTCTTCCACCGAGTGGTCAATCTCTTACCTGATTCATGTGTTCTCTACCCTCATCTCTTCTAATAAGTGGTCAGTCTCTTACCTGATCCATGTATTCTCCACTGAACTCCTGCTGGCAGAAGTCACAAACTACCTTCCGCTTGGGACACAGGTACTCCACATGGTCATCCAGGTTAAACCTTGTTAGTTTTGCTGAGCATTTGTTGGGACAAGGCACAGAGTCGAATCGACATGAATGTAGGTGGTTCTGGGGAAAATTAGATCAGCGATTCATAGTTAATGCCTGTATGCGTTTTGGGGGAAATAGCGTCACTGGTTTATGATTAATGTATGTATTGTATGTGATTCTGAGAAAAATCAATCAGTGGTTCATGGTTAATGTATGTATGTGGTTTTGGGGGAGTAGGATCACTGGTTCTTGGTGAATGTATGTATTGTATGTGGTCCTGGGGAAAATCAGTCAGTGATTCATAGTTAATGTCTGTACGTGGTTTTGGGGAAGTAGGATCACTGGTTCATGATTAATATCTGTATGACGTTCTGGAGAAATAGGATCAGTGGTTCATGGTTAATGTCTGTATGCAGTTCTGGGGAAATTATAGGATCAGTGATTCATGGTTAATGTCTGTATGACGTTCTGGGAAAATTATTGAATCAGTGGTTCATGAGTAATGTCAGTACTGGTTGTTGTACTGTTGATACATATTCAGTAATGAATCTTCCAGTTGTGTGTGCTGACACCCCATAAGTGAAGCAAAGAATGACACCACTATCATCCAAGCATGTGGTAAGAGGCAGATAAGGAAGATTGTCGAGAGACAGGCTTAGGGCCAGTCAGTAATGTATAGGACTTGCCAGAATGAAAGAAATATTGGTGCGTGGTTAGGGAGGGATGGGAATAAGAATTGAGAGTTGAACAAAAGAGACTTAATAGAGGGGGAAAGAAGTCAGACACAAGGAGAGAGAGAATGATGCAGAGTATGGAAAGGAAAAGATACAGAGAGTTGCGAAAGAGGCCTAATGACAGAGGTACCTAAAGAAACAGAAGATGTACATGCACAGAGAGACAGCCAAGCAGGAAAAGTGTGTGAGACATCAAACTTACAGGCAGACTGACGAGTGTGTCCGTCCACTTACAGCCGTCACTCTGGTATGTACAGCGCACCACGCTGTTCATGATCTCAGTCTGCACAGTCTTATCCGGGTACAACTGTGGACAGACAAGGTGTCATTAAATGGGGACACAGACAGACAAGATGTCATCAAATAGAGACACAGACAGACAAGATGTCATCAAATGGGGACACAGACTGACAAGATGTCATCAAACAAGGAAGATGTCATCAAATGGGGACACAGACAGACAAGATGTCATTCAAATTGAGACACAGACAAGATGTCATCAAATGGAGACACAGACAGACAAGATAAGTGAGGACATGTACTTTTACATAGTGTGCACAATAACAAATATGATAGGTCTGCCTGCATCTCTCTCTCTCTTCTTAAATCTGTCTGTCTATCTATCTGTCTACCTATGTCTATATATGTATATATCTGTGTCTTTGTCTCTATATGTGACCATGTCTGCACATCTATGTCACATATCTATGTCTCCAGTTGCCTACAACTTACTCAGCAAAACTGTTTCTTTGTATATGTGAGACTGTATGTGACTGTAATAGTGAACTCGTAAGCTTACTTTTGTCTGTTGTTATCTGTACATCTCTTCAGGTCATTGCCTTTTTGTGTCTGTCTGTCTCAATATACTTGCTCTCATACCCCGCTATCTCTTTCTCTCTCTCTCTCTCTCTCTCTCTCTCTCTCTGTGTTTTCACTTGACTGACCCATTTTCTCACATTTTTAGTTGTCTCTGTCTCTGCCTGCCACCTGTCCCCCACCCCACCTCCATTGTTATTTTCCCCTTAATTCTTCTCCTATCTTTTTAAAACATTTTTTTTCTCTCCGTCTTTCTCTATATTTAAAACTCCATGTCTCATTCCCTTATATCTGTCCCTATATCTCTTCCAGGTTTCTTTTTCTATTATCTCCTTCTTTGTTCGCCTTCCACTAATGTCTTTTTCATTTTCGTCATCATCTTCTCTACAGCCTCTTTCTGGTGCACATATAAACACACAACACACAGACTCTGGTGCACATATAAACACACAACACACAGACTCTGGTGCACGTATAAACAAACAACACAATACTCTGGTGCACATATAAACACACAACACACAGACTCTGGTGCACATATAAACACACAACACACAGACTCTGGTGCACATATAAACACACAACACACAGACTCTGGTGCACAAATAAACACACAACACACAGACTCTGGTGCACACATAAACACAGACTCTGGTGCACATATAAACACACAACACACAGACTGTGGTGCACATATATACACACAACACACAGACTGTGGTGTACATATAAACACACAACACACTGACTCTGGTGCATATATAAACACACAACACACAGACTCTGGTGCACATATAAACACAACACACAGACTCTGGTGCATATATAAACACACAACACACAGACTCTGGTGCACATATAAACACACAACACACAGACTATGGTGCACATATAAACACACACACAGACTGACCTTGGCATAATCTATAGGCTTCTCATCTTCCGGACACTTGAAGATGCCGCCGCTGGAGATAAACAACAACAATAATATCACGTCTGTATTTATGTGATGACTGTCATCCCAATTTTCTTTGAGACCAGGTTATGCATTTCATAGAGACTTTTGGAGAGAAATTGTCTAACGTGTTTCTTTTTCTTCTTCTTCGCGTTCACCAGCTGTAAACTCTGGAAAGTTTTGGCTGTTCGTCCACTTCTGGACTGCAGTCCTGTTCCAGAACATAAGTGTTGCCTGTGGATTTATTTTACAGATCTGACTAATTTGTATGCAGATTCTTGGTTCCTTGCCTCTCAGGCAGATGCACTCTGACTTCAAAGGAAGCTTCCAATTAGTCGTTACGACATGCTTTTGGTTCTTGTTTTCCCGATAACAGGGCCCCGGAACCCACACGGGATATAACATGTTTGATAGGTCCTTTCTCAAATAAATTGATAACAATACAGCAGTAGGCATTTGTTTAACTGATAAGAAGCCCGGCTCTATAGCGTAGTTGGCTAAACCGGATTGCGCGGTGACCGGGTGACGAACTCCTTGTGGTCCAGGTTCACTCCCGGTGGGTAGGCAGAAAAGCCACATTTCTCCCAGGGATATTTACAATTGAACCAAGGCCGAAAGGTTGCGATATCCATAATACCGAGCCTAAAGGTTAACAACTTATGGCTTCTGGATACTAAAAAGAAGCTTATAAGTAATGTAAACAAACGCTGAAAGGAAATGTCAGTAAAGTTATGCTTTCAAATGACTATTTAACTATGGGCGCGCTGGGATTTAACTCATCACTTCCGGTGTTATTATTCATCACAGGCTGACATTAACGCACACATACACATACGCCCATACACGCAGACATAGATATGTGAGCGAACTACACACCAACACACACACTCAGACTGTTTGTGTTAGCACTTCGGATGGCTACTGTATGCTTTTAATGCGTGTGTATGCTAGATATGCTGAGACAACAGTCGGTCAATCTGTCCACAAGGGACTGTGATAAACATTCTGTGTGTGTTTTTCGTTGGCACAGAGCGAACTAACTTTGGATTGACCCGTTTGCTATAAAGCTGAAACTAAGACTACCAGACTAACAGACACGCATGCATATACACTCGCACACACACACAAGCAGTCACCCCAAAAAAAGACATAATCCCCCCCCCCCCTTTTTTTTTCCTTTTTTTTCCGACATTCAAAAAAACTACTCTGTTGGTGTTGATTCATAGCAGGGTTACATCGCAGGGATATTTCTCGGTATTAATACAAGGCTGGTCCGTACACCCAGTACAATTAATAGCGTGAACTGGAGTCCTTAACTGTATCTCTTAGGTGTTACTTCGTGTCTCAGGAAGATCAATAGTCAGGGAATAACCGAGGTCCTTAAAAATTGTGTATTGATCGACACATATAAATAAGCACATGAAACGAACAAGATAAAGGTGGGAGTTAAAGTGATGACCTACCCGCTGCTACTTCTTCGCTTTCCGAGAAATGTCCCCACTGACATCAGTAAAGTCATCGTGTGGCTTTGATCAACAAACTCCGAGTTCAATCACCACAAACTTTCTGATATTGTTTCCTCGACGTTCTACTGTTTGAGATTGTTTTATTGTGTTCTTTATGCTACCAACTCAGAAATATTGTATGAACCGTTACTCCGTGTGAGTAGTTTAGATTTATATAGAGCTGCACACAGTTAGCAGTTAAAGAAAAAATTATATCAAAAAACTGTAAGTTTAACACTTACGGCTAAATATTAGAAATTGCGGATAAGTTAAACTTGTGGCTAAATAAGACAGGTGACTAAGTTTATCGGATACAGCTAGATTCAGACGAATAACATAAATGCAACACCTGAAACCCACAATATTATAACGGACACTTGTGGTTGCTAAATTACCGAAATCAAACTACAGAAATCCAACTTGTAGTGTAGTTACTAGACTTAACTAGACACTCGTTCAGTCAACAGCCACATTTTATAACCCTGCGCTTGCCCCCACTTCTTCCCACCCCTCCATTTCCTCTTCTTTATATGCATTTCTCCGCTATCTCCCCTCCTGTACGAATAAACAATCAAGGCCAAAGGTTTCCACATGTTTTTTTTTTTCTTTCTTAAATCAGTAGAGGTTGAAGAGGAAACTGTTGGCAGATGGCACGAGGCCAGTAACAATAGACAGTCAGGTATGGGGAGTTTGGGGACAAAACAGGACCGGGAATTCTTTGTCCACTCTGTCCTTAAGTCCTGTCTCCGGGGAACTTCTGATTGGCGGATACAGATTTCTCACCTGCGTGTTTCTAAATAGCGAAACTGAACAGGTGGTCGTGCAGGAAGACTGCTGGCACCTCATTGTTGAAGAGAAAAAACGATTGGGGTTTTATGTTAGTCAAGAAAGTTTACAACTGAAGCGAGAATAGGATATAATGAATGTGAGACACTGGCCAACGATAACGGATCGACCGGATTTAGTGTCTCTTTCATTGCACACCGGTATCTTCATAAGTGCTTCGTCTCCTGTCACAGATAAAACACAAGGAGAATCACAGTGCACGAGCTCCGTGAGCTCCGTCACACCGACCAGGTGTGTGTGTTAAAGTGTGTGTTGTGATGGGTTGGTTGTTATGTTTGTGTGTGATAATGAGGTGTGGATGAATGGCTGGTCTAACGGTAAGTACGCTGGGCTCTCAAGCGGGAGACCCGGGTTCAAATCCTCGGTAAGGCTGGGGATTTTTTTTCTGTCAAGGGCAAAATAAAATTTTCACCTGCACAGTCGTGGCGACAGCACACGCTACCGTAAATTCTCAGACTCACAGACACCCCCCCCCCCCCCCCATCCAGCCTACACCACAAAAGTGGTATAATAAAGGTACTAACTGGAAGTTTTAATGCGGTGTTGATATGTTTGTGTGGAAGTGCAGGGGTTGCCATGTTTGTGTGGAAGTGCAGGGGTTGCCATGTTTGTGTGGAAGTGCAGGGGTTGCCATGTTTGTGTGGAAGTGCAGGGGTTGCCATGTTTGTGTGGAAGTGCAGGGGTTGCCATGTTTGTGTGAAGTGCAGGGGTTGCCATGTTTGTGTGGAAGTGCAGGGGTTGCCATGTTTGTGTGGAAGTGCAGGGGTTGCCATGTTTGTGTGGAAGTGCAGGGGTTGCCATGTTTGTGTGGAAGTGCAGGGGTTGCCATGTTTGTGTGGTAGTACACTTACTGTCATGGTTGTGTGGTAGTGCACTCACTGTCATGGCTGTGTGGAAGTGCAGGGGTTGCCATGTTTGTGTGGTAGTACACTTACTGTCATGGTTGTGTGGTAGTACACTTACTGTCATGGTTGTGTGGTAGTGCAGTTAATGTCATGTTTGTTTCGTAGTGCAGTTGCTGCCATTTTTGTGCGGTAGTGCTGGGGACATTAGTTTGAACCGTCATCTAAGTAGGGGATCGTTGTTGTTATGTTTTTTAACTGACCTGGAGATCAAGCCGCCTCTGCTGCAAATAGCTACCTATAATATTCTGGAAATTACATGTAGCCGGTGTCATAGAGACCCAATCACCCATCCAATAAACTATGCGTAGCCGGTGTCATAGAGACCCAATCACCCATCCAATAAACTATGCGTAGCCGGTGTCATAGGGACCCAATCACCTATCCAATAAACTATGCGTAGCCGGTGTCATAGGGACCCAATCACCTATCCAATAAACAATATTTAACCGGTGTCATAGGGACCCCATCACCTATCCAATAAACAATATTTAACCGGTGTCATAGGGACCCAATCACCCATCCAATAAACAATATTTAACCGGTGTCATAGGGACCCAATCACCTATCCAATAAACAATATTTAACCGGTGTCATAGAGACCCAATCACTAATACAATAAACAAAATTTAACCGGTGCCATAGAGAATCAATAAATAATCCAATAAACAATATTTAACCGGTGTCATAGACTCAGTCACCCACCCAGAACTTAGTCATCTTTACAAATGGGTCGCAAACATCTTATACTCTATAACCCTCAAAACCGTGAATCCTGGTTCTTAGCTTTTTCAAAATGGCATTTGTTTGGGAAGGAAAATCTAAGTTAAATAATTCCTCGTGCTCCTCGAGGAGCCGGATTTTCTTGTTCTTTTCCAAATGCTGAAGATGCTGAGATATAAAGACGGGCGCAAATTTTCAACAGCCTTGCCATGACAAGGATTTCATACAAAGACTGGCTCGTGCCGCGCGAAGTCTTGGACCGCCTTCTCGCTTCACTGAACACAGAAAACGGAACATCTGCCACACGCCACACGCCATCCAGAGCCCGCTTCCTGTGCATTCTGAGTTTAAAAGTAGCAACAGTCAGTCAAACACACACGCTCTCGCACATGCATCCAAGTACTTTTGTATATGCGAATAAACACACAGTCACGCACACATACACAAACGTGCCAGGAGAGAATGAGGCATTAGGGTGTAACCAGAGGGTCTGTCCTTCTCAATACACTCAGAGGAAATATAAGACCAATATATAACCAGATTTCGACCGGCACCATCAGTTTTGGAACTCTGCGCTGGCTGCTGAAAAGGAGGACGCAGCATGCATGGGAATGCCCTTAGTTCTGTGATGTTAATTTTTGACTCAACTCAACTCTCAAGCACACACACACACACACACACACACACACACACACACACACACACACACACATTACGCTTGCACTCGTACATGTACCCAGGTCGGAAGCGCTGACACAAAGAAAATAAGGGGGATCGGGTGGAGGTGAAGCGAGGAGGAGTAAAGTCCTCATCGACCCCGCCTTCCGTTTAGATTGGGGGGGGGGGGCGGGGCCTGAAGGGGCCTAGCCTTATGTCATTGATTAATAATAAAACAAAAAAGAATATTATTCATTATAAACAATATGCTGAAGGGAAAATAAATAAATTAACAATCCTCATCTTGTACGTTCGTCCTTGAAAGGGCGGTTGACATATAAGATAACTTACAGCTAGGCTGCGGTATCTGCACCGTTTGACCAATTACATTCAATTTAAGCAAACCCGAATTAGTCGGCGTTGACTATCTGCCTATTAGAGGGAGGGAGCATATATAACCCCTCCCCCTGCGCCCATGGAGCCCAAGAAGCCGCATGGGGATACTAAAATATAATGTGTATAGGTTTAGGTTTAGACAACGGATCAACATCATGGCACAAGGGTAATGACCCATAAGTGCCTGACTCCGAAGAATCTCAGCGCAGTTCACGAACTCCGTAGAACCGGCGAAGATCCTGAAGTACTTTCGGTAAATTTTTAACTCCAAATTTTTGCCCGGGCAGCGCCGTTAGGCTACCCTTTTTTGTTGTCAAATGATATTTTTTAACCTGTGCAACAATACACATGGGCGTCCGGTCTTACTACCCAGAGAACTGGGGCAATTACTTGAAGTCCATGTGGGAAAAAAATCCCACCCTTCACCCGGGATCCCCAGCCTTCGAGGCAGATGCCATGCCTGAAGATGAGAAAATATATTCGCAATATAATATTTTTATCTTCTGAATTTACAAAGAAAATGAAAGTCTCACCTGAGGGATTCCTGAAGACAAGTATCGCAGAAACGGTGACCACAAGTCTGGACAACCACAGGGTCACGCATGGGCAGACGACAGATTGGACAGTAGCAAGATTTGCGGAGCTGGTCAGTGAATAACAAGCTGTACCCTGGCATCCTGGATCGATCCCTGCACCTCGCTTATCTTTTCTGTCACCTAGACATTGTAATTTTAGAGACAGAATTAAGTCGACATCCAATGTCTAAACTTGGCTCACAGGTCGACCCATCCTTAACTGAGTACACCAGGTAAAATGCTGGAAAGTAAAGGCAGCCAGCGTGAGATATACCCCATCCCGCACTGAGTGTTGATTAGTGTATAAAAATATGTGTCTAGCCCCATATGCCCAATACGCATAAAAGCGCGAAAAGGATCGTCTACTTTATTTTACTGGTGGTAACTTTTCCTTGGAGTAAACAAGGTAGTCTAAGGGAGTGATCAAGAAGAATAGGCAACGCTTGATCTCTATGGCGTTGTGCTATGTCGAGGAGCAACATATCCTTGTCTCCGCATAGCACAACACAACACTATCGTCTGCAGAGACGGAAAGATGCCGGCAGGCTAGACTGTACTAGGTAAATATAGATTGCGGATAACCCTGGGGATTGTAAGGAAATACACAATATCGTTTAATTAGTAATGAAAGTAGTTTTATCTGTTGTAGTATTAGTTATATTAGAAGTAATTGTACAATTAGTAGTAGCAGCAGCCTCATCATCAGAGGTGGTGGCAGCAGTAGTAGCAGTGGTGACAATAGTGGCAGTAGTAGTAGCAGTGGTGACAATAGTGGCAGTAGTAGTAGCAGTGGTGACAATAGTGGCAGTAGTAGTAGCAGTGGTGACAATAGTGGCAGTAGTAGTAGCAGTGGTGACAATAGTGGCAGTAGTAGCAGTGGTGACAATAGTGGCAGTAGTAGTATCAGTGGTGACAATATTGGCAGCAGTAGTATCAGTGGTGACAATAGTGGCAGTAGTAGCAGTGGTGACAATAGTGGCAGCAGTAGTAGCAGTGGTGGCAATAGTGGCAGTAGTAGCAGTGGTGACAATAGTGGCAGCAGTAGTAGCAGTGGCGACAATAGTGGCAGTAGTAGTAGCAGTGGTGGCAATAGTGGCAGCAGTAGTAGCAGTGGTGACAATAGTGGCAGTAGTAGCAGTGGTGACAATAGTGGCAGCAGTAGCAGTTGTGACAATAGTAGCAGTAGTAGCAGTGGTGACAATAGTAGCAGTAGTAGCAGTGGTGACAACAGTAGCAGTAGTAGCAGTGGTGACAACAGTAGCAGTAGTAGCAGTGGTGACAATAGTGGCAGCAGTAGTAGCAGCGGTGACAATAGTGGCAGCAGTAGTAGCAGTGGTGACAATAGTGGCAGTAGTAGCAGTGGTGACAATAGTAGCAGTAGTAGCAGTGGTGACAATAGTAGCAGTAGTAGCAGTGGTGACAATAGTGGCAGTAGTAGTAGTAGTAGTAGTAGTGGTGACAATAGTGGCAGTAGTAGTAGTGGTGACAATAGTAGCAGTAGTAGCAGTGGTGACAATAGTAGTAGTAGTAGTAGTGGTGACAATAGTGGCAGTAAGTAGTAGTAGTGGTGACAATAGTAGTAGTAGTAGTAGTGGTGACAATAGTGGCAGTAGTAGTAGTGGTGACAATAGTGGCAGTAGTAGTAGCAGTGGTGACAATAGTAGTAGTAGTAGTAGTAGTAGTAGTAGCAGTGGTGACAATAGTGGCAGCAGTAGTAGTGGTGACAATAGTGGCAGTAGTAGTAGTAGTAGTGGTGACAATAGTGGCAGTAGTAGCAGTGGTGACAATAGTGGCAGTAGTAGCAGTGGTGACAATAGTAGCAGTAGTAGTAGTAGTGGTGACAATAGTAGCAGTAGTAGTAGTGGTGACAATAGTGGCAGTAGTAGCAGTGGTGACAATAGTAGCAGTAGTAGTAGTGGTGGTGACAATAGTAGCAGTAGTAGTAGTGGTGGTGACAATAGCAGTAGTAGTAGTAGTGGTGACAATAGTAGTAGTAGTAGTAGTGGTGACAATAGTAGTAGTAGTAGTAGTAGTAGTGGTGACAATAGTAGTAGTAGTAGTAGCAGTGGTGACAATAGTAGCAGTAGTAACAGTGGTGACAATAGTAGTAGTAGTAGTAGCAGTGGTGACAATAGTAGCAGTAGTAACAGTGGTGACAATAGTAGTAGTAGTAGTAGTAGTGGTGACAATAGTAGTAGTAGTAGTAGTAACAGTGGTGACAATAGTAGTAGTAGTAGTAGCAGTGGTGACAATAGTAGCAGTAGTAGCAGTGGTGACAATAGTAGCAGTAGTAGTAGTGGTGACAATAGTGGCAGTAGTAGTAGTGGTGACAATAGTGGCAGTAGTAGTAGTGGTGACAATAGTGGCAGTAGTAGTAGTGGTGACAATAGTAGTAGTAGTAGTAGCAGTGGTGACAATAGTAGTAGTAGTAGTAGTGGTGACAATAGTAGTAGTAGTAGTAGTGGTGACAATAGTAGCAGTAGTAGTAGTGGTGACAATAGTAGTAGTAGTAGTAGTGGTGACAATAGTAGCTGTAGTAGCAGTGGTGACAATAGTAGCAGTAGTAGTAGTGGTGACAATAGTAGTAGTAGTAGTAGTGGTGACAATAGTAGCAGTAGTAGTAGTGGTGGTGACAATAGTAGCAGTAGTAGTAGTGGTGACAATAGTAGTAGTAGTAGTAGTAGTGGTGACAATAGTAGCTGTAGTAGTAGTGGTGACAATAGTAGCAGTAGTAGTAGTGGTGACAATAGTAGCAGTAGTAGTAGTGGTGACAATAGTGGCAGTAGTAGTAGTAGTAGTAGTGGTGACAATAGTGGCAGTAGTAGTAGTGGTGACAATAGTAGCAGTAGTAGTAGTAGTGGTGACAATAGTGGCAGTAGTAGTAGTAGTAGTGGTGACAATAGTAGCAGTAGTAGTAGTGGTGACAATAGTGGTAGTAGTAGTAGTAGTGGTGACAATAGTAGCAGTAGTAGTAGTGGTGACAATAGTAGCAGTAGTAGTAGTGGTGACAATAGTGGCAGTAGTAGTAGTGGTGGTGACAATAGTAGTAGCAGTAGTAGTAGTGGTGACAATAGTAGTAGTAGTAGCAGTGGTGACAATAGTAGTAGTAGTAGTAGTAGTGGTGACAATAGTAGCAGTAGTAGTAGTGGTGACAATAGTGGCAGTAGTAGTAGTGGTGACAATAGTGGCAGTAGTAGTAGTAGTAGTAGTGGTGACAATAGTTAGTAGTAGTAGTAGTAGTGGTGACAATAGTGGCAGTAGTAGTAGTGGTGGGTGAGTAGTAGCAGTAGTAGTAGTGGTGACAATAGTGGCAGCAGTAGTAGTGGTGACAATAGTGGCAGCAGTAGTAGTGGTGACAATAGTGGCAGTAGTAGTAGTGGTGACAATAGTAGTAGTAGTAGTGGTGACAATAGTAGCAGTAGTAGTAGTGGTGACAATAGTGGCAGTAGTAGCAGTGGTGACAATAGTAGCAGTAGTAGCAGTGGTGACAATAGTAGCAGTAGTAGTAGTGGTGACAATAGTGGCAGTAGTAGTAGTGGTGACAATAGTGGCAGTAGTAGTAGTGGTGACAATAGTGGCAGTAGTAGTAGTGGTGACAATAGTAGCAGTAGTAGTAGTGGTGACAATAGTGGCAGTAGTAGTAGTGGTGACAATAGTAGCAGTAGTAGTAGTGGTGACAATAGTGGCAGTAGTAGTAGTAGTGGTGACAATAGTGGCAGTAGTAGTAGTGGTGACAATAGTGGCAGTAGTAGTAGTAGTAGTAGGTAGTAGTAGTAGTAGTAGTAGTAGTGGTGACAATAGTAGCAGTAGTAGCAGTGGTGACAATAGTGGCAGTAGTAGTAGTGGTGACAATAGTAGCAGTAGTAGTAGTAGTAGTGGTGACAATAGTAGCAGTAGTAGTAGTAGTGTTACAATAGTAGTAGTAGTAGTAGTAGTAGTGGTGAGTAGTAGTAGTAGTAGTAGTAGTGTTAGGGTAGTAGTTAGTAGTAGTAGTGGTGACAGTAGTGGGTAGTAGTAGTAGTAGTAGTAGTAGTAGTAGTAGTAGTAGTAGTGACAATAGTAGTAGTAGTAGTAGTAGTAGTAGTAGTAGTAGTAGTTAGTAGTAGGGTAGTAGTAGTAGTAGTAGTAGTAGTAGTAGTAGTAGTAGTAGTGGTGAGTAGTAGTAGTTAGTAGTAGTGGTGAGGTAGTAGTAGTAGTAGTAGTGACAATAGTAGTAGTAGTAGTAGTAGTGGGTAGTAGTAGTAGTAGTAGTAGTAGTAGTAGTAGTAGTAGGTGTAGTAGTAGTAGCAGTAGTAGTAGTAGTAGGTGAGTAGTAGGTAGTAGTAGTAGTAGTGACAATAGTAGTAGTAGTAGTAGTAGTAGTGGTAGACAATAGTAGTAGTAGTAGTAGTAGTAGTAGTGGCAGTAGTAGGTGTAGTAGTTAGTAGTAGTAGTAGTAGTAGTGGTGGTGAGTATAGTGTAGTAGTAGTAGTGGTAGACAGTAGTAGTAGTTAGTAGTAGTAGTTAGTGACAGTAGTAGTAGTAGTAGTGGTGACAATAGTAGCAGTAGTAGTAGTGACAATAGTAGTTAGTAGTAGTTAGGGGTAGACAGTAGTAGTAGTAGTAGTAGTGGTGACAATAGTAGCAGTAGTAGTAGTGGTGAGGGTAGTAGCAGTAGTAGTAGTAGGGTTAGTAGTAGTGACAGTAGTAGCAGTAGTAGTAGTAGTTAGGGTGACAATAGTAGCAGTAGTAGTAGTGGTAGTAGTAGTAGTAGTAGTGGTGACAATAGTGGCAGTAGTAGTAGTAGTGGTGACAAAGGGTAGTAGTAGTAGTGGTGACAATAGGTTAGTAGGTAGTAGTAGTAGTAGTAGTTAGTGGTGGTGTAGTAGTAGTAGGACAGTAGTGGCAGTAGTAGTAGTAGTGATAGTGGTTAGTAGTAGTGGTGACAGTAGTGGCAGTAGTTAGTAGTGGTGACAATAGTAGCAGTAGTAGTAGTAGTGACAATAGTGGCAGTAGTAGTAGGTAGTAGTAGTGGTGACAATAGTTAGTAGTAGTGGTGACAATAGTGGCAGTAGTAGTAGTGTGGTGACAATAGTGGTTAGTAGTAGTAGTGGTGACAATA